GGTCACTTACCTTCCTGGCACCGGAACCCTGGGCTGGGAGCCCTGGTATGGCACTGGGACTCCTCCCTCCTGAAATATCCCCCCTGAGTTTTTATCCAGCACATGTGGATATGGGACCAGCCCGTTCCATATCTGAGCCCCTCCTACCACTCTGGGTACATATGGTTTCTTTAATTCTGTAGTTGTCAGATTTCCATTCAACTTGATTTCTGATGGTTCTGAGTGATGTTATTCTGTATCTTAGTTGTAATTTTGATCGGTTGTTCAATGAGGCGAACCATGTCTGACTGTGCCACCATCTTGACTGGAAGTATGCATTTTCTTTTAGAGGAGATGCTGCCCCCGTAGCCATGAACACATCTCATGCCTGGATCTTGGTTTCTAATACCATTCTCCGATATGAGGCACTAAGGGCTCCTTGGAGGAATGGCTGACTCTGGGACTAGGCCAGGACACAGTATACAAGTTGGGCCTGGAGTATCTGTAGTACCAGAAAGTAATGAGGTGACAACGAGCAAACAAAGCCTTCCCCCCACAAAACCTCCTGCACAATGGTGGACGTGTGTCAAAGGGACCCAGCAGGCAACTGAAAGAGCCCCCAATGGCCAACGCTGGAATTATGTAAACAATAAAATGAATAACATAGCCCTGGATTATAATCCAAAGCCTAAAATAAATATCCATACGTCCATACTGATTTTAAGAATGACTAATAAATGGGAAGAAGAAAAGAAGTCTTCCTTGTGTAAGAATCCCAAACCATCCCCGTGGGTACTCTTCCCTCAGGAAGGAGCACGAGCTCCCCACCTCCTCGCCTGCGGGCCGCGTGGCGCGACTTCCTTCCAAAGGGCCCAGCAGGGAAGGCGAGGAAGTACAGCTTTACGTGGAGAAACCTGACAAATCACAGGTCACACGCCAGGTGGTCACGGTTACTGTGGACAGTGATCAAGCATGTGACGGTGTGCACCCTGGATAGGGTGTGACGAGATGCCACTGTGCCTCCGAGCCCCCACCCCGGGCCCCGAAACAGCACGGAACCACAGTCCAATCACGGGGAAAACATCGACAAAGGCGGACACGGGGACATCTAGAGTATTATTCCTGACCTGCATTCCTGAAAATGCCAAGGTCATCAGAACCAAGTGTGAGAAACTGGCAGGGCCAGGAGGAGCCTAAGGAGACCCGGCAACTCCTTATTCCTCAACATGAATGTCTGACGACAGGGGACATGGTATCCCCAAACAGAAAAAGAGTTTAAAACTAAGGATGCCTAAATACCTCGCGATAGACTTCAGTTAATATTAATGTATCCATGTCGGCTCATTAATCGTCACAAATACATCATACTAATGTAAGATGTTACTAATAAGGGAAACTGGATATGGGATAGATAGGAACTTTGTACCAAGTATACGTCTCTGTTTTTCTGTCAGTCTACTAAAACTGTTCTTAAAAATAAAGTCTGTTCCTGTTTGATGAAGTTTGCGAAGGCCTGGTTTGGAGTTCACAAACTAGGTCAAGTTCGGTATAGGTAAATGTCAGACCTTCAAAGGCAGGTCTAGAGGAGTAGCTCTCACCAAACTAAGTCCGCTTGGATCCCAAAGGAGGGAAAGAAGAGGTCAAAGCCGCTGTGAGCCACCTCCAGGCGCAGGCGCTGGAGGAGGGGTGGTGGGGCTCGCCAGCATCTCGGCAGCGGAGGCAGGCACTGCAGTCCCCCACCTTGCTTTGCATCGATCGATCGACTGGTGGCAGCTACCAGAAGAGGTGGTGTCCCGAGGTGACCTCATCCGAACACCACATTCGAGCAGAACCTCCGCCGTGGCTGGCTCAGATCTGGCTTTGTGACAGCAGGACCATGGGCTCACTGCCCCTCCATGTCCATGTCTGTTCACGGGATGAGAATAGAAAGTCCCTGACTTTCACGGGGATGCCCTGGTCCCGAGGATTCGGCAAGTCCCTCAACTTAGCGAAGCATTTTGGTGCTTCCTGGCAGCGCTCAGCCTTGGCCCTTCGCATCCCTGCCCCATTTCCTCCAGCACCCTCCAACTGGAGGGGTCCGCCTGCTCCTGATTCCTTTGAGAAATGGGGTGATGAGTGTATAAATAAATCACCTGAGGAATGTCAGTAGTCTTAGGGGAGAGCCTCGTTCAGATGTGCTACTGACCCAATTATCAGTATTTGCACTGGAGTGTTATCATTAGAACTTTTCCAATTCACCCCGGAAGGGACCCCAAGTGAGAATCAGCTCATTCACTGCAGCACGGCTTGTAAGAGCAAGAGACTGGAAGCAACTTGAATCCCCTTCCAGAGAGGACTGGTCAAGTCACTTAGACTGTTACGATGTGTGTGCGTGTCCACATGTACATGTTCCTCTGCTTGTGTGAGTGTGTGTGCGTGCACCGGCACACACACACACGGCTGGGAAGATCACTCAGACGTTGATGACATGGATGGACTCTGAGCAGAGGCCTTGGAGGCCAGGAGACTCAGGAGGATAGTTTGCACTTCAAGTAAAGCCTTTCGTATCTTTTGCATTTTGAACTGTGTCTATATTATATATGCTCAAAGATATTTAAGAGAACCAGAGAAAAACTGATGCACCCCTGTGGGTCACAGCCGTCGGGGTTGGTTTGGGGGCAATCACCAAACGGACTGGGTGGGACTCTGAAAGGCGCCCAGCTCCAGGTCCCTGTGGCAGAGCCTGGCGGGATGGGGTGCGCCTCTGGGGGCCGCGGCATCCCAGAGCGGCCAGTGCTCCCTCAGGACTGCTGACCAGGCGGGGGACGGAGAGCAGTGCAGACAATGGGAAGCCAAAACCACTCTCCTCGGACGCCTCCCCTCTCCAAAAGGACCCTGTTTCAAATCTGCACGGGGTAGGGGATGAGGGCCAGGATCCTGGTCAGCCCCCTGATGTCCAGCTCAGTCCTGTCCCTGTCACCGGCCAGCTGGGCTAGGCCTTCGGCGGTCTGCTTCCGTCCGAGCCTCTGTGAGCAGCAACACTGACTGACTGACACCGCGCAGGCCAGCCTTTCCTGGTAAATGAGCCATATGTGTGCTTATATGACTGTGGTTCCTATCACACGTCAAGAAATTACCCTGTGGTCTTAAATTCAGTCACTGAAGCACTTCCAATGAACCCTGGCAGCTGCTACAATGATTTGTGAAGTGGAGCCAGAATAAGTCACGAGCAGGAGGGAGGGGAGTTGAAGGGCAGCAAGGCAAGGTCTGTGGCCGTTCTCTCTACCACTGTCCCGCACACAGAATCCCAGCCCCCCACATCGCAGGCCCAGTGCTTGGGACACCGCTTGACAGACAGTAGCCTCCCAGTATGACATACCAAAACCTAAAAGGGAGTGACGAGTCTGGGGAGACGCATGGTGGTGGCTGTACAACAACGTGAACGCACTTGATGCCACTGAACAGTGCGCTTGGAAGTGGTTAAAATGCTGAATTTTGTTATGTGCATTTTACAATTAAAAAAACGGATGAGGTCTAATCTCATCTTCACCTGCTCTAGGTTCTCGTCCAAACGCCCCAGCACCCCTCATCAGGTCTGCTCTCTGCATGGGAAAAGGGCCTCCAAAGTCCCTTCTGGGGCCTCTATGCTCCTTTCCAGCCAGTACCACCAGGCAGGCACTTGGCTCCAAACACAGCAGGGCCCAAAGCAGCGGCCTCCAGCCCAGGGGGCCAGCCCGCAGCATCCTGCCCACCCGTCGGTCAGCGCAGTGAAAGCAGATGCCCTCACCCCGCCCCCGCCCCCGCCCCTCCCTCCCGAGCAGCACAGTCCCTCAGATGCTCAGGTCTCCCATCCAGCCGCGGTTCATGCTTCCCGCCCACCCTCGCCCCACCCGCCAGTCTCTCAGAGCACCCTGCTGCGCCCCCACGCACACCGAGGCCACCAGTTCTGTCCTCCCCACTCCCAACCTTCCTTTCTCAGTGGGCCGCTGCCTCCCTGCTCCACCCACCCTTCCAGTGCTGTGTCCTCCTCACAGGCCATCGCCATCATCACGAAAAGCAACTCAGATCATTGCCGCCTGCCTCAAACTCCTCGGTGCTCTGAGGATGCCGTCCAAATTCCTTACCTGGGTCACAGAGCCCCAGGTCACCTGCTCCCGGCCGCCCACCTGTGCTGGAGGGCAGGTCCCTTGCTCCCTGCTGGCCCCACTGCCCTGCTGCTCGCTCCTAGTCCCACGTCAGCCCTGCGTGGGGCTGTTTCTTCTGCCCGAACGCCCTCGCCTGAACTTCACGTGGCTGTCGTCTCCCACCGGCAGCCCGGCCTACCTGTCACCTCCTCCAAAAGGCCTTCTTACTACCAACATCTAAAGCCACCCTGGCCACTTTCATATCCCTCAGTCCTCTGGATAGCATGGCCACTGCCTCCCTGGATGGAGTGGTCAGCCACGTGGGCAGGGGCTTGTCCACCTTGCTCTCAGAAGGATCGCAGCCCCCAGAACAGGCCTGGCCCAGGATCGGGGCTGTGCAGCAACAAGCAGGTGGAAGTCGAATCTGTGAGAACCCTTCGCCCTCTAGCAGAGCCTGCAGCTTGGAGAGCAGCCAGCAGACAGAGTGACAGACAGGGGAAATCGGGGCAGGGGGAGGGCAGAATGACAGAACCAAGGCACTTTAAGGGAAGGAGGCCCAGCTGAAGGGGGACCAAGCCCAGCCCACCCGTGGACTCGGGGGCCTGCAGCAGAGACGGGGCCCGGGGCCCACGGGGCTGCAGGCAGCCTGACCTTCACCCCCAACACTGTCCTTTGTGCAGAAAACAATCTTGTGACTCACCTTCAAGGAGGGGAAGGAAACATACGAAAGTCACAAAAATATATTAAAACAGCTGTTTTCTTCTCTCTTGGCACTGGCCTTCCTTCCCAGTGCCCCTTGCCCACCACCCTCCACGGCCTTTCAGAGAAAAAGATGCCCAGGGCAGGAAGACGGAGGTGCCCCGGCTGCAGCCCAGGGCCCGGGCGGTCCCTCCAGCCTGGGAGTGAGGCCTGCTAACAGTCTCTACGGGCTCCGCGCCACTGTCGACGAGGGGGCCGCTGGGAGGCCGGAGGAGCAGGAGGGCCAGGCAGGATGCAGCGGACAGTCGGGCCTTGCCACAGGGACAGAAAACAGAAGAGAAATGAACAGAGTGCAGGAGGGAGACAGGAAAGTTAAAGCAGTAAAAGCCGGGGGACAGAGGAGTGGGGGAAGTCAGGAAGCAGCAGAGTGGGGGGGCCCAGCAGGTGACGCCCACTCTGGGGACCGAAAGGCCAGGGAGCTGGGGTTTGAGGCAGTGGACGCTGCTGACAGGGAGGGGAGGGGACGCGGCAGAGCAAAGGGGCACTTGGCACTGGGGGAGGTAGAAAAACAGGCCCCACCAAGGCCACAGTCAGAGAGGACAGAACAGAGCACATGAGAGAAGGGACAGCCCCAGGGTGGCAAGGCCGGGCCACGACGACCACCTCAGACTCAGGAACATGAGGTGCGTCCCCGCAAAGCTGGGACCCAGCCCGAATGCCTGAGAGGCCAGCAGTGTCATCCAGAAGCGGGGCTCGTGCCCTCGCTGAAGACGGACGGAACCAGGAGCCTGGAAAGGGGCCTGCGCCCCACCTGTGGGCTAGAAGGTCCTGCGGCCCAGTCTTTTGAACACACTCACAGAGCCCGCGTGGTCCATCTGGGCACCAAGGCCCTCGCTGGAGCTGTTCCCCCTGGGCCCTAGAGTCCTCTTAATGGTGACCTTGACCTTGGCTGTGGACTTACTCTTGGTGCTCGTGACCTGGCTGTCCTGGGCCTCGGGCACGAGGGCAGTCTTGCCCAGTCTCTGGATGATGCTGACTTTGGACAGAGACTCTGGCTTCCTCTCGAGCCCTGAGCGGGAGGAAAGGGCCAGGCGCCGCAGGGTCGGGGTGTTGGCCGTGGTCGCGGAGCTTGTGGCCTTGGCCTTGACAGTCAGTGCTGGCTGGAGGCTGGTCTTGGCTGGACCCCGGCCGAGCTTCTTCAGGACCCCGGCATACTGCAGGACAGAGCTGCTGCTCTCATTGTCGCTGTCCCAGGCCAGATCCTCATCCACCTCGGGCGTGGCCCCCAGGCGGCTGAAGACTCCCGTGGGCTGTGGAGGTCAGAGACGAGAGGAGTCACTGAGTCACCAAGCCCGTACTCATGGAAGGCTGCCTCATGAGCCTGGCCCCACGGGGGTCACCTTTGGGAGACACACTCATTGGTGACGCCCTAGTTAGTGGCCAGAGCCGTGACGGGGGTTCCCAAGGGAGCTGGGAGTGGCTCAGAGGAGACTCCGTGGATTCGGGAAAGGCTCCCTGCTGAGGGGACGTCTGAGGTGAAATCTAAGAACTGACAGGAGGTGGGTCTAGTAAGGAGGGGGGAGAGAGCATGTGCCACAAAGACGGAAGGCCACCAGCTCAGGTTCGCAGGCGAACAGGAAAGAAAAGACGAATTTGGTCATCACTCAACAGGTACTTTCCGAGTTCCTACTCTGTACCTGGCCCTGGGCTGGGTGGTGCTGGGCACACGGCTGTGACCAAGATAGACCTGGCCCTGCCCTCAGGGGGCTCACAGTCCAGAGGGGAAGGCAGACCCGGCACTGGACATGACAGTGATTCTCTAACGACAACAGTTCCGGGAGCCTCAGGAAGCACCAGTGTTAGGCCGGCCCCTCAGAGCTGAGGCTGCAGTGGAAGGAGTGTGGGCTAAGTCCCCGCGTCAGGAGCGAGAACGACGAGAGCTCTCCCTGCGTGCCAAGCTCCCAACGGGGCTGCGTCCTCCAGCCGCGTTCCCCCGAGTGCTGGTGTCACGCTCGTGCTACGATCGCAGGAAGTGAGAAGAGGCCAGCGTGGGTGAGGCAGGAAACGTAGCGGGGAAGCTACACCACAGCTAATACAAGGCAGCATCTAACGTGTGCTCACCACGCCCCAGGCACCCCCAGCACCATGCAAGTGCGTAGCCCTTAATCCTCATGACCACGCTATGAGACGGGCACTGTCAGATATGAACACTGAGGTAGGAAGGGCATGAGTGTGTCACCAGGCAGTGGCAGAGCCTGGTCCCCTCCAGCCAGCGGGCCCAGGCTGGGCTCCTGACCACACACTGTGCCTGGAGCCCAGGAGACTGCCGGCCGAGGAGGGCGGGGGCAGGTGCCTGTCCTGCGGGGAGCGTGCACTGCTGCCGTGGGCAAAGGGCCGAGGGGTTTGCCGTGGCCGTGTGGAGACCAGAGGACACCGCCCTGTCCGGACAAGGACGAGAGGCAGGGCAGGCAAGACCGGTGGCACCATCAGCCTTGTGACTGCCTAGAATGAGGGCAGTGGGGGGCCCCTGAGCCAGCGCCCGAGAGAAGTTGCTCTGGGGAACGAGGCTAAGGCTGATGTGGGACATGGTGGGGGGAGAGGTCCAAGAGCAGCATCCAGGAGCTGGCCAAGCCCTGGGGCTGGACATGGGGAGAGGTCAGGGCAGAAGACAGAAAGGGAAGCCACCGGAGCAAAGAAGGGAACCGAGGCTGGACAGGTGGGGGCGGCAGCCCGCGGGAGAGCCCGGGTGAGGTGTGGGGAGGAGGGTCAGCAACTACACCAGGGAGGACGAGGATCGAGAGCCCCGAGCGGCTCCCTGTCTCCAACTCACTTTATTTCCCATCGTCGTGTCTGCCTTGGTCTCGGCGCCGAGGCGGTCAAACACGGACGTCCTGTGGACACCTGGAGGGAAGCGAGGCCCTCATGCAGCACCTGCTGAGGGGCCCTGCAGGCCCAGACCCGCTGAGCACCCTGCAGACAAGGGAGGGCCCAGAGCCCGGGCAGCAGGGGCACCAGCAGGCACGGACGGGGCCTGGTCGGGTTTCAGGTCTGTACCAGCGGGACGACACCGACTTCGACCCACACACGTCGGGCCGGTGTGAAATGTGGGAAGCGTCCCCTAAAGCTGACACGCGTTCCTCGTACCTGGTATGAGTTCATAAGGTGCATGTGTGGGAGGAGTTCTTACTCTCTGCTGGTGCCTCCCACCCTTTCTGGGGTCACAGGCCTCTGAGAGAATCGGTGAACGGTAACAAGTCCTTTCCCTAAATGGCCGCCCACTGGATGCTCGACGTTGCACAAACGCTGTGGGGACGTTAAACGACCACTGGCCAGGCGGGTTCGGGTGTGACTGGTGTCTGCGGGGACCGGTTTCAGGACCCCCATGGACACCGAAGTCCTTGAAGCTCAAGTCCCTCACGTACAATCTAAATTTCCACAGAGGTCAGAGCAGGGTCCTCCACTCGTCACTGCATTCATGTGGATTCAGCGTAGCACTCGGCATGCGGCACATTCAAGTTCTGTGGTTTGGAAATTTCTGGAGTTTTGTTCCCCTGCGTGTTTTCGATCTGCAGCTAGTCCAACCCACGGATGCGGAGCCAGGGGTTCGGAGGGCTGGCTGCAGATGCACATGTGCTGACACGCAAAGACCCCTGGAGAGGGGCCCTCGGACCCCACGGGATGACGCTGCGCATTCAGAAAGAGGCGCCTAGGTGTGCGTTGACAGGCGTACAGGTGCAGAGGGGTTCAGGACCCCTGCAGGGATGCCCGTCTGGAAAGGTGAACGGCGGGTGAGGGATGTGCAGGGGACGGGAAAGAGTCTGTTTTTACTGTATGTGCTTCCGAGTCATCCGAGTGATAACGACAGTTCCCACTTTTCTGGGCACCTGCCCTCAGCCAGGCCTGGTCCCACGCTTAGGGGCAGGCCAACAGCAAACCCGTGTCCCCGCCCCCTGGGGAAGAGCACCAGCGGAGGGACCAGGCAGGCCCGCCACGGACAGGAGGGCACCGGCGGCAACCTACCCCTGCCCCTGTGGCCACCATTGCTGTCCCCTCGGTGCGAGGCCCCTGGACCCGGTTAGAGCCTGCTCCACGGCCCATGCCCATGGGATGCGACCGAAGGGAAACCATCCCTGCAAAGCGCGCCCCTGGCCGGTACCTTTCGCCGCCTGTTGCTGCTCGAGGATCTTGCGGGTCCGGGGGGTGGTGCCCTTGGGCATGTTGACGATGTACTTCCCCTCCATCTCGGCAGTCACCCTGCGTCTCTTGGCAGGAACAGTCAGGCCCTCCTCCTCCCGGTGGGCCAGGGCAGCTGGGGAAGAGGCGGGGCGAGCGCCTTCTCAGATGGAACGCTCTCCCAGGGGAGAGGCTACATGCTCTGCAAAGGGCACCCACGTGCCCTTTATCTCCACGCATCCGCCGAACCGGCATCCCCTACTTTTCAACCACCCCCATCACCACGAACTCCGAACCACAAAGAAACTCAGAGGCCTGGGCAACATGGGGCACAGCCGGCACCCCCAGGCTGCAGGGGCTCTGTCTGTGTCCCAAACGGGCTCCTCTCCCCGCCCAGCCAGACTCCCCTCGGACTTTGGGTGGGTGGGAAGGTTCTAGAGCGCCCACCAGGTAGTGGTTTCACAGGTGTGCTCATCTTCAAAAATTAATCAAGCTGTATACTTACAAATTGTGTGTAAGTTACACCTCCATTTTTTAGAAAAGAATACCCTCAAATGTGTTAAGGATGAAAATGCCAGGCCCTCCCAGGCTATCTTTTCAATACTTCAGAAATTAATTTGAACTTTCTTGCTCATGGGACACAAATTGAAGGCCCAGAGGCGGGTGGAGGTACCTCCCGACACCCACAGCAGGAAGGGAGCCCGCGGGTGCGGTGGAGGCAGAGGACAGAGCTGGGGCTGGGGTCAGAGAATGGAGCCCCTCCCTGGGCCTCGGCTTCCACGGTGCCGAGGTCGCTGTTGAGGGATGGGTCCAGTGAAGGCAGGAAAGCGGCAAATAGAGAGGGGCTGGGAGCCCTGGGCCAGAGCCCCGTTCCCAGCTTGAAAGCTGGGACCCAGAAGAGGAAGAGAGACCCACCGCGGGGAAGTCTGTGGAGGGCGCGTGCTCCAGAACAAGGGAGCGCCAGGGCCGAGGCCCCGGAGGGCACGGAGCCTGCAGGGGACCGAGGCAGCAGGCAGGGGCGAGAGACACAGGGGCGCATCCCCAGTAGGACTGGGTTTTATTACTGGAGCAATGGGAAGCCCTGGAGAGATCTTGACAAGGGTGTGAAAGGATCAGGTTGAGGGTTCTAAACGACCTCCTGGCTGCTGAGAGGAAATGGTAGCTTCTTCACCTCTGACCCCAGGCACTGAGCACAGGGCTGGGCTCAGTGAACATCTGTTAAAAAACGACTGAACCGCCAGTAGTCAACGGTGCTGTCCTGTACACTTAAAACTGCATTAAGAGGGTAGATCTCACATTAAGTGTTCTTACCACAATAAAATAAAATTAAAAAAACGGACCAACCCCTGAGTGAGAAGCACAGGGCACCTGTGCTTACACACACCATCTCAAGTGCTTCTGACTGTCCTCTGGGTAGGGGACCGCCAGCCCCATCCTGTAGACGCGGAAAGTGAGGCCCACAGAGGTGCAGTGACCTGACCAAGTCGGACCACTGTCAACACACAGTGGCCTCCGAAGCACTTGCCATGTTGGGAACATGGCCCCCAAACACCACCTGCGAACCCACACTCGCCTCCTGCTCCCCCCGCCACCTGCCCGAGTTCCCTCACCTGCGGCCTTGGCGCTCTTCGCTGCCATCTTGTTGGACACAGTGACGGAGATCTTGGAGGTGCTCGTGTCTGGCCGCCTGGGGGGAGTTCCAGGCGGGGAGTCACGGTTCAGGCTGTTGGCGATCATGCGGGAGGCGGCTGTGGGGAGGAAAGGGGAGAGTCCGGTCGGGTGGGCCCTGGAAGGGGGTCCTGGCTGGAGAAGGCCGCCCTCGGGACTGAATGGGGAAGCACAGCCAGAGCCACTCTGCGGCTGCCCTGTCCTCAGCTGGGGATGCTTGGGGGTGGGTGGGCCAGTATTCCCAGGAACTAGCCTACTCCTCCCCACTCCGAGGCCCTTCCATGGGGCCCAGAGCCAGATGGCTCGTCCCGCACTTCACCCACCAGTTACCCAGCCCTGTGCTGACCCTCCCCCTCCCCTCCCGGCTCTGCTACAGCCAAGCTGGTCCCTGGGTCTCGGCCCGGCATGTGGTGCCTTGATACCCACAGGCTTGCTCTGCCTCTTCACATACGGCTCCTCTGGCGGGCACCTCCTCAGAGAGAGCTTCCTGAGCACCCATCGACCTCTGCGCCTTGTTCCCTGCACTACACTCCCCTTTCACGGCCCTCGTCACTGCTCGGTGTCCAGTTACACTTATCCGCTCACTGGGGGGCTCTCCCACAAGCACACGGGCTCCAGGAGGAGGCACTGCCTGGTTACTGCTGAAGCCCCAGCGCCTATAACATTCCTGGTACTTCACAAGTCCTCGATAAACATCTCCTGAAAAGATGAACACTATTGCCAAACTTCCCGACACCGCCACTAGATGGACTCTACTGCCAACCAACTTTATAGACCAGGGAACTGGGGCTCAGCCAGGCCCCCGGGCCATGTGTGTCTGGCTCCAGCTGGTGACCTCCCTCGGGAGTGGGAGGGCAGCCTCTGGGGGCCCCCATCTTCTGTGGAGCAGGAGGAGGGGTGTCCCAGATGTAAGGTGAGGACCACAGCCCACATCCTGGAGGGCCGGCCCCAGCGTGGGAGGGAGAGTCTGGGACACAGTGTTTTACCAAGACAGCTCAGTACCGCTTGGGTAGAGGGAAAACAAGTGTCTCTGCTCGGCTGAATGTGAACGGCAGTCAGGATGTCAGAGTCTAAAGAACTGTTGTTCTCGCTGCTGCCGAAACAGACACACACGTCTGGCGGCACAGAGGGCACGCCCGTGGCCGTGTTCGGAGCGCCGTTGTGGGGCGCTCTTCCCACCTTCCCTTCCTCACTGGTTTCCCCTTTCTATTTCATTGCCTATTTTCGTCACTAGTGATTTTGTTGGTTTTAATTTTTTTAATTTATTTTAAACTGCACTGGCCGGTGTGGCCTGGTTGGAGCACCATTCTGTAAACCAAAAGGTCACAGGTTCGATTCCCCATCAGGGAACATACCTGGCTTGCAGGTTCAGCCCCCAGTTGGGGCACATGCAACACACAACTGATCAATGTTTCTCTTATATCGATCTCTCTCTCTCCCTCCCTTCCCCTCTCCCTAAAATCAATAAGCATGTCCTTGGGTGAGGATAAAAATTTCTTTTAAGTATTTAATAAAACAGTCGGAATGATACGAAGAGTACACACCGCCTAATTTCATTCACACAGACTTGAAGACAAAACTCATCTACGCTGTGAGAAATCAAGGAGGTGAGTACCCCCGAGATGTGGCGCCGCCGCCTGCACGGCCGCCCGTCTGCGGAAAGTCCCGCAGCTGCACGCACTACGTCCTGGTCTGAACCCTTTTCTGTATGTAAGTCGTGGGATATGTTTGCAGAAAGAAACTCCAATGTGTTCAGCCTTCCTCCTCCTTGCCTTTGGGTAGGCCCTGCCCACAGTGACCGTGGGCTGAGCCATGTGACTGTCTCTGGCCAATGGAACGAGAGCAAATGTTACAGAGGCAGAAGCTTAGCAGGTGATCTGAGAAATGGGGCCTGCCCGCCTGTGCTCTTTCCGGAGCCCCGCATCTAGTCCTGTGTGGACGAGCCTGGGCTCGCCCGCCACAAAAGGAGAGGCGTGGCCAAGTTGCCCCTGTTGGCACAGACAGCATCACGCCGATCACCGGATGTGTGCGTGAGGCCTCCCAGCTCACCCAGCCTCGCCCAAGTTGCCAGGCAACCATCGAGACCAGCTGAACTGGTCCAGTTCAGAAATGGCCAGCCAAGTCATAAAACCATGAGAAATAAAAGTCTGTGTTTTAGACCAGTTTGGGGGTGGCTGTTAAGAGCAAAGGCTAAAATACGTGTTAATTTTTTCTGGTTTATTTTTTAAAATATATCCTACTGCCGAAAAGTATGAGTCAGTTCTCACCCTTTACAGGTCCCTCATTTCCAAATTCACCTCTTCACTAAGATGCGTGTGTAACTCTGCACCAACACTACACTTTTGTGGTCACTCACAGGCGCGCGGAACGGCCCGGACCTGAGTCGCGCAGCAGCCCTGCTCCCGACCGAGACGGGCCCACGCTGCGTCCTGGTCCCAGCTCTCACACAGTCACTGGGCGCTCCTCTCGTGCTCTACTTAGGGTCACGTTTTCATGCTTTTGTGCTTTTTGTCACTGACTTTGCTGCTGAGAACGACCCCGGGGCAGAGCGCCGGAGCGCCACCTGCTGTTCCTACGTGCAAGCAGGCAGCGATGGGTGTGCCGCAAACGCGCGTGCGCCAGACCAGCTCCACTCAGAGAGGAGGGGGGTGCTGTGGCCGTGACTTCAATGGGGGTGAAATAAGGTGTCTCTAAGTGGACACACGCGTAAAAGAAGGCTCTGCACGGCTGCCCTGATGAAAAATGTTCTGACCACAGCACTGTGGGAACCTGACCCAGCATCTCCCCCGGGCGGGGGGCGGTGGTCTGGTGCTGGCTAACTCCGTGTTGGCGGTGCCTCTGCAGAGCAGAACTCCCTCCGGCCCCTCGTTACCCAGTGCGTCCCGAGAGAAGAGGCCTCAGGCCTTTGCTGCCACCTCTGCAACTCCAGATGTGCTCCCCACCCCGCGGGAGTGTGACAGTGAGGGGCAGAGGGCCTGGGCAGTGGGGACTCACCGCTGGAGGCGCCTCGGCGAACCTCGCCTGGGAGGGGGCTCGGGCTGCAGGGCACCGACTCAGTGGCAGCTTTGCACATGTCCTGTGAAGAAACGAAAAGAGGTGCCTCCGTTACCACGGGGACAGGGACAGGAGGTGGGGACTGGGAGACCCAGAAACCTAAGCAAAACTAGGGGCACCAGAGCTGCTGGAGGAAGTACTTCAAGGCCTCCCGCTCCTAACCATGAGAAAGCGTCAGACAAGCCCCTACTGAGGGCCATTCTACAAAATACTGGACCCGCACTCTTCAAACCTGTCAAGGTCACATCAAGTCACTGGGCCCTGCCCCTGACGCTACTATGCTGTCGCATGTCTACTGTGATAAAAAAATTACACTCAACATATTTATCCCTAAAGTAAATCTACTTAATAAATTACTTAATCTACTTTTTAGTGAATTAATAAATCTACTTAATCAGCTTTAAAACTGATTAGCTGTAACTGAAAGGGGAAAAAATGTCAAGGTCACCAAAAACCCAGGAGAACGACAAAACTGTCACAGATCAAGAGACAAAGAAGGCAGGTCAGCACGGCCAGGCATCCTGGGACGGAGCCAGGACACCGATGGGAGACGGGTGAAGCCCGTGTGGCCTGCGGTTTAGTTAGTGACAGCTCACTGTGGTCCCCTTCTCAGTCCTGACAGAGGCACCGTCACCGTGTGAGGGGTTGACATTAGCAGAAGCTGAGTAAAGGGTAAAGGACACACAGAAATTTTCTTGTTGGAACTTTCCTAGAAATCGAAAATGATTCCCAAATTTAAAAGTTTAAAGAAAAAAAAGGTTTTCTCCATGACCGTCTCCATGGTAACTCGGGTAATGCCCGTGGCCGGAGAGCCCTCACTCTGGGGTCCTGCCCTGCCCGACGGGAACACGCAGGCCGGCTCCAGCTGGAGGGGCCCCTGGAACTGGGGAGCGTAACTCAGCAGCCGCCGGCCGGCACAGCGGAGGGCCTGAGAGTGCCGCTCTGGGGCCGGTTTCCTCCCCGTCGGATGCAGGGAGGAGCGAGTTACTCTGTCTAAAGGGTGGAGATGGCCTGGCAGGCCATGGCAGCGGCTGGTAAGTGTTAGCAACCCTAACTTCACAAACACTTCATTCCAGGCCTGGTGCTCCTTGCCACATACACGGTTTGGTAGATGGCCCCGGCCACCCTATGCCGCAGGACTGTGTGAAAAGCCTGTTTCAGAGACGCCCAGGGAGGTGAAATCACTAATCTAAGGACAGTGCGACAGGAGGGGCCGATAATGGAACAACCATACTGTCGGTCACCCACTGAGTCCCACAGGAAGCTCCCGTTCTGGGGACAGAGAAGAATCCTGGTAATGATGTTTATCATTACAAAGATGAGAACTAGTAACAATAATAATAGTTACACGGAGTCTTTACCGAAGCCCTACTTTTTACCCTGTGCTAGGGTTTTACATAGTGTACTACTGGCACCCACCCCGCAAAACACATCTGCCCATGTGCGCACACAGATGAGCAAAGTGAGGCTCAGAGAGCTCAGGCGACTGCCCAGTGCCACTCCGCTAACGCAGAACCAGCCTCGGAACCCAGGCCTGCCCGCCTTTGCTTCCGAGCCTCCTGTTGGCTCCGCCCCTGCCCCTTCTCCCCCCCACCCAAACCCAGGGAAGAAGCAGAGCACCCACCTGACGGTGCACCACCTTGGCGTGCTTGAGGATGGCGATGATGTCCCCCACCACAGTCACGCCCAGCTCATTCATGATTTCCTTGTTCAGATCCAGAAGCATGCTCTTCTGGATCCTGCAGGAGATGGTCAGTGTCGAGGCCACAGGTGAGCCAGGGTGGGTGGGCCAGCCGGCTCCCGGTCCCCTCCCATCTCTCCCCTCCTCTCCCCAAGTCCAGCTCTGTCCCCCGAGCCCTTACCTATTATCCACGAACATCACAGCGTAGTTGACAGCAGGCCCCGGAGGAATGCCGGCTTCCTTAAAGAACTGGATCCACTCGGAAGTGGCTGGCGGGGGTGGACAGGGCTCACTGTTCACATTATTCTCTTTGGAGAGCAACCACAGCAAAACCACAACAGTGCTTCCCACAATTAAATGCTCATCAGTGCCCGGCCCTGTGCCGAGTGCTCTGCATGTGTGACAGAATCACGCCGCCTGACAAGCCTGTGAGTTAAGCGGCACCGACTCCTCCACTTTGCCACCGAGGAAACTGAGGCCCAGAGAGGCTGGGCCGCTGGCCCGCAGCCACATGGACGAGCAGCAGAGTTCCTCAGCCCATGTGCTCCCGTACTGCCCTTCCCCTTGTGGCTCTGCCCTGCGCTGGAAGGTGACCTGTGGTGATCATTGCCAGCACAGCCCCCACCCCCATGCTTGACTGATTTGGGGCAGCTGAGACCCTGGGTTCTCTGCCCCATCAGCAGGCCCAGCCCTTGAGAGTGACAGGATCTGCAGGGGAATGGAAAGAAAAGTCACAGAGCCCTGGCCAGGTAGCTCAGTTGGTTAGAGCATTGTCCTGATACACAAAGATTGTGGGTTCGACCCCCAGTCAAGACATGTATAAGAATCAACCAAAAGCCCTGGATAGCCTGGCTCAGAGGGTTAGCACCGGCCTGCGAAAGTCACAGGTTTCATTCCCTGGCAAGGCACATGCCTGGGTTGAGGGCCAGGTCCCCAGATGGGAGCGAGGGAGGGGCAACCAATCAATGTTTATCTCACACATCGATGTTTCTCTCCCTCTCTTTCTCCCTCCCTTCTCCTCTCTCTGAAAATAAATAAAATCTTTAAAAAAACAAAAAGAATCAACCAACAAATGCATAAGTAAGTGGAGCAACAAAACTCTCCTCTTTCTCTCTTAAATCAATAAAAAGATTTCAACAACAACAACAACGAGGAAAAGGTCCCAGGGCCGTTCCGCGGGCAGTGAGCAAGCCCCCGGGCTCCGCACAGGAGGAGCCCGGCCTCCCAGTGCCTCACTGGGGGTTGCAGGCATCAACTCTGGAGCTTGGGTTCAAATCCTGGCTCTGCCTGGTCCCAGCTGGGGGACTCTGGGCAAGTCAGCACTTGGCGCTTCAGTTTCCCCGTCTGCAAATTTGGGAACATCTTCAGCGAGTGTGTACAGAGCACTTGGCACGGGACAGGCCCCGCCCGCTCCAGGGCACAGGACAAAGCCCCTTTCTTCCCTCCCGGAGCTGACATTGTAGAGGTACCAGCACCTACATCCTTGGGTCACGTGCAGACTCGGTGCAGAAGTCCACTCAAAGGGCTCCAAAGTGAAGGCTGGGCCCAAGGCCGTCCTGGGCCCCCTGCAGCCGTGACCACTATCACTGCTATTCTGCCACCACTACACACAGAGCCGAGGCCAGGAACAGGCAGACTCCACCCGGGTAGCGTTACTTCTTTCCTGTCCTCTAGGCTGTGACCTTCAAATCAACCCTGACCTGTCAGGCCAGGGGTCGGCTAAGATCATTGATTTCAAGGAGAACCTTTTTTCACATTTTACTATCTCCGAAGCCAGAATCTACCTCACCATCGATGGTGTGCCGCAGTTTAATAGGCAACACTCTTTCTCTTCCCCGTGGTACTTCGCATCACATCCGACATCCCATGCTCGTTTAGATCAGAGGAAAACTGGTACTGCTCTGCCCATTTTGCTTGGGACAACCGAGGCTCTGAGCGGGGTCCGATGTTCAGCAGGTGACAGTGCGGGGCTCCCGCTCCCGCCCAGGGACCACGCCTCTCCTCGGAGGCCTCTGCCCCCCAGGCCCGTATTTCCAGTTGAGAAAGGTGGACTCATGCCCACGGGAGAGGTGCTGCCTCCTTTTCCTCTGCACATGCGCTAGGTACCCACTAAGCCAGGGTGCCCTGGCTTCTTCCATCAGCCAAAAGCAGGTACCTTTGTCTAAGTATCAAAACGCACCACTCAGTGATTCCATTTATAAATGTCCAGAGTGGTAACTCGATAGAAATCCACAGACAGGAAGTAGATGAGTGGTTGCCAGGGGCTGCGGGCGGGGCAGTGACTGCTGATGGGTACTGGGGCTTTGGGGAGGAGATGAAAATGCTGAGGCCCTGGCCAGGTGGCTCAGTTGGTTAGAACAGTGGTCTCCAACCTTTTTGCTGGGGGGGGGGGTGGCCAAGGGGGGGCGGTGGCCAAGGGCGGACAGGAGGCGGAGCTCAGGCGAGGTTCAACAGGCTGTGGATGGGCAGCCCGGGGTTGGGGCTTCATCCAAATACACAAAGGTTGCAGGTTCAACTGCTGGTCAGGGCGCTTACAAAAATCAACCAATGAACACAAAAATAAGTGGAACAACAAATTGATGGCTGTCTCTCTCTCACATATACACTCCCCCTTTCTCTCTACAATCAATTTTTTAAAATGCTTTAAAATCGACTGTGGTGATGATTGAACAACTCTGTGAATAGAAAATATAGAACGTAAAAACTGCTGAACTGTACCCTTCGAACAGGTGATTGTACAAAATGTAAACTGTGTGTCAATCTTAAGAGGGACAGAAGCGCCACACGGGTTGGGGGTGGCTGGCTGCCTGAAGTCAGGTCAAGGAACCGCAAAGCCCCACACCCAGGCCGCGCCCTCTCGCCACGCACAGCAGGTCCTTGAGTAACACTGTTTCATTCAACGTCATTCTGTTATAACACTGACGAGATACTATATGACTTAGCTCTTGTTTATATCAATTTGCCTGTGATGAAACTGGTTTCATTGTATGCCGTTTTGCCTAAAGTTACACAACCTACTGACAATGTTTAGTGAGGACTCACAACATGACTAAGAAGGAAAATGTGCTCATAAGCCACCAGCTCTAAGACCTGCTCCCATTTCAGAAATAAGAGGAGCAACAATGTGTCTTGGAATCAGGGAGGCGTGGCTCCCTGTACACAGCACTAGAACACTCACAGCCGCTTGTCTGGAGTAGCCCCAGCCCAGCAATGCTGCAACCTCTACACCAATCAGCAAACGGTTACGTCTGTGGGGAAACGCTACAGAGCAGCGCAAAGAACTCCAGCACCCACGGCAACATCGATGACCTCGGACATTGTGTTCAGCAAAAGCAGCCAGGCAGAAAAGAACACGAGGCATGTTATGTTCATGTAAATTCAAACCCAAAGTCTATGGACTACGAAGAAAGGGAAAGAGAGATTATCACAAAGATAGTGGTTTATTCCATCTGGAGGAGAAAAGAGGTTGTGATTGGGGCTCACAGAGGGGCTGGCCACCTTCTATTTCTTGACCTAGAAGGTTGGTGGTAATTTGCTTTCTTTTTCTTTTTGTTCTTTAATCCCTCTTGTATGTGCCCCAACCAGGGATTGAACCTGCAACTAGGTATATGCCCTACCTGGGGAGGGAACCTGCAACCTTTTCTGCGCAGGACAACATCCAACCAACTGAACCACCTGGCCAGGGAAAAGGTGGTCTGTTTTTTAAACCTTTTCCTTGAACTATAAGGCACACACAACAAAGGGCCACATAAGTCAACAGGTTTTCACACACCAACACACCCAGGTAACCAGCACCCGGATTAAGAAATAAAACATTTCCAACACCCCCAGCCCCTCACCTCCCCTCTGTAGTTACTTCCCCTGCCTCATGCGGGGAACAGCCCGCTTCCAACAGTCGGAAATGTCTGCCTGGGTCTGTGCTTTATATAAATGGAATCATCCTGGATACACTCAGCTGTTTGCTTTTTAAGTGCTCCTAGGACCAAATGTTTGATGAACTTTTCTATATACACCATACATTTCAAAAATGTTTAAAGCTACCAGCTAATATCTGCGCTTTGACAATTCCAAAATGGAGGATTTAAAGAAAATAGGGTGATGAGGCTCATGAGAATAATGATAATAGCTAACACTCCTTGGGAACTACGCCCAGGATTTTACATTCAATAACCTCCTTAATCCTTATACCATCCCGGGACATAGGGAGCATTAGTATCTCCACTTTACAGGTGAGGACACGGAGGCTCGGAGAGGCCGTGTGGGAGATTTGCTGGACTGCAACACCCCCGCTCTTTCCGGCTGGACCGGGCTGTCAGGAGGCCAGACGCAGAGCGCAGGCGAGCAGGCCCCGAGCAGGCCCAGCCCCACCTCCCCGTTCCTCGGCGTACAGCTGTTCCTGCCTGTGACGGCCCCCCTCCCCCACCTCGTCTACCCCCAGCAAGGTCACACCTCAAGAAGGGCAGAGGGGAGCGGGGACCCCGGAGAGAAGGCTAAGACTCACCCATAGTCACTGAGACCATTGTCGCCCTGGCCCTGGTGCTGCTCCCTGGAGCCTGGAAGGAAGAACAAGGGGAGAGGGCCCATGAGTGGCCACAGGCTGTGGGTGCAACGTCCCTCTGTCACTGCCCACCGCCTGCCAGAGGGAGTTCCTGGACTGGGTGATCAGAGCCCAGGAATAGCCCGGAGCAGCTGGCTGGAGGTCAGCCTGGGCCAGAGCTGCCACCACGACGATCACTTGTGCCTGGGAAAGGCCCGAGGACAGCGAATGTCCACAGCGCCACTTCCACGCACCTCAAAAGTTTCCAGCTGGAATAAGAGGACAGAAAAAAGACACCCCCTGCCCAAGACTTTAACCGTAAATATTCACTCATTCATTCATTCAAAAACTGATTACTGAGCACCTACTATGTGTGAAGCACTCTTCCCGGAGCCAGGTATACTGAGGTGAACACACACATGGACTTGGCATCTGGGTGGGGGCGGGGGCGGGGGCACAGAAAGCAAGCAGAACTGTTAGCAGTGCAGGGTGTCAGAAAGCCTTCAGTGTCCTGGAGGGAATTCGGAGGGCTGGGAAGGAAAAGACTGCAATTCTAACAGATGACCAGGGAAAACCACTCTAAAGTGACGTTCAGAGACCCAGCGGAGGTGGAGGAGTGAGCCCTGTGGTTTACAGAAGAGTGTTCCAGAGAAGGTACAGCAAGTCCAGTGCCTGGAGCCAGGGGCCGCGCTGGCGTGTCTGAGGGACAGCAAGAGCTGGCGTGACTGCAGCAGAGTGAGTGAGGAGGAGAGTGATAGGTGACAAGAGTGGAGAGGTAGGGCACCAGGTCGTGAGGGGCTTCAGAGAAGAAATGAAGAGCCAGTTTTCACTTATAGGATTAGCAGGTGTTAGAAAGGTATTAGCACCAATCAAGACTTCCTCCTGGACATGAATAGCAGCACTGGAAGGAAACTAAGGGAAGTAACTTTCTCTCTCGGTGATTCGATGCTGTCTGACTCCAGGACCGCCTCTCCCACACCGCCTGGGCCCAAACTTCACCCTTCCCTCTGCTCCCTGCCATGCGCCCCAGCCCCTCACCCTGATCCTTCGCCCTCATCCCTCCTCCATCTCCCTGTGGGATGCAGAAGGCCCTCTGCCCGGCACACACCATCTGCCCCCCCCCCACTGCCCCTGCATTTTGATGGTATAACAGAAGCAGTGTAAGAGTAAGGACTCTGGAACCAGACTTCAGGGTTCAAATCCGGTTCTACCACTTACTAGCTGTGTGGCCTTGGCCAATTACTTCACCAGCCATGCTTCTATCCCCATCTGTAAACAGGGATGGTATAAACATCACTTACCGTAGACATATGCGGTGAGGGCTCGTGAGTTTCTGTGTACAAAGCACCCGAGCCACTGTCTGGTGCAGACTAAGTGCTCTCCAAGAGTGGGCCATTCCTCCCGCAGGCCTCCCACCCCAGCCTTCCCTCGGATACACAGGGGCTTTGCCTGCCTCCCGGTTTTCACAGTGTCACCTGTGCCTGGAATGCTTATCTCCTCCTGTCCTCCTGGCAAGCCCCGCGTCACTTTGCTTAGCTGCCGCCTGCTTTGTAAGCTTTCCCTAAGTCCGCACATGTGAGATTCTCTCTTCTGCCCTGGCCAGGATTCATCCCACCTCTCACCAGCTTCTGCTGCATCCCTTACTGATGAACGTGACCACAAGACATCATTCCGCCCGCTTTCTTCATTCTCTAAGACCCACTTTCCCTCCTGGGTTTTACTGCTGGACAAAGACAACACAACTGCATCTCTCAAAGGGCAGGGCATGGAGAGGCTTCAACATGTCAGACAGAACAACATGCTACATACCAAGCACTAACTACACACTGGACCAGAGCCAGGCATCATGCTGATGCCTCACAACCGCCTCATGAGTGAGGACTATTATTACCCCATTATAATCAATGAAAAAACCAACTCATCAAGGTGCAGTCGTCTGCCAAACGCCACAGCTAGCCAGAAGCTTCACCAGGATTCAAAAACAAGTTCTCCCTGATTCCAGCGCCCCTACAGCAGCTCCTACTGAATGTTTCCGTGCCAGACACTCAGCATATACACACCCCAGCGACCCTTCACGACCACAGGACAAGAAAGTAAAAATGGTCCCTGTGTTATGGATGAGAGTGGCAGGTCCCAGGGCACACAGTAACTGCGCGCCACGACTTGAACCCAAGCCAGTCCAATGCTATGACCAATGCTGGTGGAGGGGGGACTAAGAGCCAGGCACTGTGATCTGTTTTGCAAGGTGTCGGTCAATGCTTACCAGAAGCCTTCACGTACTGGTACCCTCCTACAGCTGCAGAATTCCCTGATGGACTCAGTATCCTCTCTCCACCATCAAAAGCCCATCTCCAGCGCCGACTCTGAACAGTTAAAATGATAACATTAACAACAGTGGAAAAATGACCACTCCCAAAACTCAAGTAATTACCATGTACCAGATGCCCTGTGCTGAGCCCAATTCACCACTTCCTAACTCTGATTCTGGGGTAAGTTTCTGGGTTTCACTTCCCTCAGCTATAAAATGATAAGAGCACCTAAAGAGGTTAGAGGGAGTAAGTTCATAAATGCCAAGCCCTTAGAAAAATGCTCAGCAGGTGACACGTGTGCACTAGACAAAATAAATAAATCTTCAGTGAGCTAGGGAGAGGGTAGGACAGTCACTATGTCAGTCGTGTGCAAAGCGTGAGCTGGAGCGGAGAACAAAGTGACTTGATGGGGTCCCTGGGGCCTGATGAAACGGAACCACATAGTATCAGTTATTCTCTTTCAGTTTCTGCCTAGTTTTATTTTCATTTTTTAATCCTCACCTGAGAACACCCAACCAGGGATGGAAACTGCAACCCCGGCATGTGCCCTGACCAGGGACCGAACCCATAACCTTTGGGTGTACAGGATGACACTCCAACCAACAGAGCCACCTAGTCAGGGCCCTGTCTAGAGTTTAACAGGTTGTTCCACTTCCATTGTATTTCAGGTTGTGTTCCTCCTCATGGCCAGCCAGGCCAGTCTTTGTTAAGATAGCAGATAATTTTTCCTCCTCAAGTTGACTGTAGAAAAATGCATCAGTAGTTTTAAAGAAAAGAAAAAAAATCATGGGATTTAGAAAAATTGGCCAAATGGTAAGTTGGAGGATGTTGCTTTCCCTGAGTCCAGATTCCAAGTTTTTCCTGTTTCTGTCTTTGAGCTTCCTCCTTCCCTCTGCTTCTTTGGAAGTTCCAGCTACACCAACGACTCCTGGAATCATCGTTATGATAGTCCCAGTCTAATAAGCTCCTACCCATTACTGTGCCAGGCCCTGTGCTAGGGACTTGATATGTACATTTCATCAGCATCCTCACAGGGACCTTATGATACTGGGACCATTAGCCCGCACTGTACAAATAAATAAAATGAGGTTCGGAGAGGTGAAGGCACAGGCCCACTGCCACGAAGTGGAGCTGAGATTTGAACCGAAATCTGTTGGATTCCAAGTCCAACAATCTTTCACGCTCCCACACCCTGATATTCCAGGCCAGTCACAAATATCATTATCAATACGAACAATACTAGTTCAATAACGAGTGGGCACTGTGCCAGGCTCTGAGCGAGGGGCTCCGACATGCACGAGCTGAATTCTCACTCCAACCCATAAGGAGGAGGCTGTAGTCGGATTATGACCCCCACTCTACAGAGGAAGAAACTGAGGTTCAGAGAAAAAAGTCGCTCGTCCGGGGCTACACAGCAGCGTCGAGACTGATTCCGGAGCCCCGAACGCCATCCAACCCCACCGCTTCCGGCCCAGTCCCACCTCCCTCGGCCCGCGCCTCACCTGGCCCTCCGGGCCCGCGCCCACTCGCGCAGCCCGCCCGCCCGCCCTCCCGGCGGAACCAACTGTCAGACCGCCCCCTCCCTTGGCACGGAGGCCCGTCCCGGAAGCGCCGCCCCGGCCTCCGGAAGCCGGACTGGCCCTCCAGCGGCCGCTCTAGCCGTCCGGGCTGCCACCACCGAGAGTGAGGCGCCCGCCGCCACTGGATCGCGCTCGCAGCCACCCCGGCGCTTCTCTCCGCCCCACACTAGCGTGGAGCGCGGCCAATCAGAAAGGCCAGGCCCGGCCCCCCCTGCCCGCAGTCTAGGCCGAGTGCGCCTGCGCGCGGCGGGGGCGGTCCGGCCCCGCTCCAGCAGAGGAGGTGCGTGCGGGGCTGGGTCCGGGAGTGGGAGACCTGGAGCGCAGGTACTGTGCGATCTGGGGGCGCGGCGCCTCGGCTGCCCTCCTCGTGTTGTCACCTACGGTCTATAATGCGTGTCTACCCTTATGTCGCTCTCGGGCCCTTTATGTCTCCATTCCTCCCTGCACATCGCATTCCACTTAAATCGTCAACATTCCCCTGCAGTCGCTGTCACCTTCTTCTGTCGCCATCAACCCCCTTAACTCGCTTTTGTCTCCTTTAAGCCCCCATTGCCACCGCAGGTCGCAATTGCCCCTTTTAAGTCGCCATCGCCTTCTTATGTCACCTGCACCCATCTTTTGTTGGTATTTCTCCATTATGATCTCTCATAACTGTCACCATACCCCATGTCACCTTCACACGCCTCCTGTCACCCTTTCCTTAAATCGATCTCATGCTCTCCTTATGTTATCCTCACGGTCACCACCCCTCTCATGTCACTTTTGCTCCTCCGGCTGTCACTGTTCATGTCTCATGCTTCTAGTTTTCCCTGTAAGGGAAAGGCCACCCTGCCTTACAGGTTTTTTCCCCTCCACGTCTCCGTCATTTGCCCGTGTCACTCCTCACACACTCGCCACTGCTCCGGGTAGAGCCCGTCACCTGGTGTGTGCCAGAATCCCAGCGCACCACTAAGCCTCTGGGTAACCTTGACTACCTAATCACACCTTTGCAATGTAAGCTTCCTCATCTATGAAGTGTGCACAGCACAGGGGCGATTGTGAGGATTCTGCCAGTTTATTCCTGTTATATCCAGTTTGACAGGGTGATTTGGGCTAATATTATTATTAACCACGTCACTCCCACCCTCATCCAATCACCTTCCTCGCCTCTTCATTGTCCCTCTTCCCCTCCCCCCACCTCCTTTGTCATTGCTGTGGCCTCAGTCACTCCATGTTATCATGGCACTCTCTGCCATGGCAGCCACCCCACGTCACGATCTCCATATTGCCCTCATTTCTGCCACATCACAACACCGAAGGGGGTGGCTCACCAGCTGTCACAAACCTTGCTCATGTAAATAGTTAACATCTATCTCTTTAACCTTGCTGGGCTGAGTGATCTCCACCCCAAAATGAGAGCATTTGGATGGTGCTGCGGTGGGAGCTGAAAAGGGTTTGCTGAGGGGGAGAGTGTAGGTAGCTTAGACCTAGACCTCCCTTGGCTTCTGTAATGGAGGGGTATGGAGAGGTGAGGCAGGTCCCACCACAACTCGCTTAAACCTCAGCAACCCTGAATCCCCAGGTGGAATGGTGAGTGTCTTCTGTACCGAGCTTGCCTTTGCAAGGCAGTGTACACAGTGGTTAGCAGTGTGCACCTGGGGGCTGGAACACCCTGGTCCCCATCCTGATTCTAGCATTCAGTGCTTAAACAGTTGCATAACCTTGGGCAGGTGGCTTCATGTGCCTGGGCCTCAGTTGCTGCGCCTGCAATGTGGGAATGAAAACCCAAGTTACTCACTCAATAGCTATTTAGAAAGCACATTTTACATCCCCAGCCCTGTGCTGGGCACTGGGGACACCTCGGTGAACTAACCCAGAGATCCCTGGCCTCGTGGAGTTTACATTCTAGCAGGGAAAAGAGACAATTAGCAAATAGGTAAGTGAAGGATAGGATATGTTAGGAGGGGGCGGGGACTGCATGAAAAGGTTGTAGTTTTAAATAAGATGGTCAGAAAAGATTTTCCGAAATGATGACGCTTGGACAACAACCCGAATTGGGGGAGAAAGTGGTGTGGCGGCCTGGGGGGAAGAGTATTCTAAGCAGAGAGAACAGCAAATGCAGAGGCCCTGAGGGAGGGGGGTGGAATATTTAGAAACATTTAGAGGGTAGAAAGGAGGCCACTGAGGTAGGAGAAGGCTGCAGGATGTGGTCAGAGGAGTGATGGGGGCAGATCTCCTGGGCCACGGAGAAAACTTTAGCTCCACTCTGAGTGAGGCGAGCGGGAGCCACTGGAGGATTTGGAGGTGAAGAGGGACACCGTCTGATGTGACATGGTGTGAGCGGAAGCAGCAGCAGCAGCAGCAGCTCCTCCAGAACTACCAGAGATGGATTGGCAAGATCAGCCTGGTTGGAAGGAGAGCCAGAGTCCTCTTCTTAAAGCTGTACTCATATATCCTTTCTCTCTGGAGAAAGCTTCCAATGTCCTTCTCAAAGACTGGGAGGGGAAGCGGGCGTTGGTCGTTTTTGAGAGGCCCAGGTCACCTTTGGGTTCATCTGCTGTTGGGGAGGCAGGAAGGGAGAGCAACTACAGACGGACAGATAATAACAGGAGAGGCAGCTGTCCGCCCCTGGGATCCTGAGGCAGCTTGGGTTCAAATCTTGGCTCCATTGTTTCCTGGCTGTGTCCTTTAGTGCCAGTGACCTAACCTCTCCAGGCCTTTAGTTCCCTTATCTGTTAAGTGGGGCTAAAAAAAAAAAAAAAAAAGGACTGTTCTGATCATTAAACATTGTTAATCTTAATAATCTGTGCTTCAATCGGTGCCTGGTTCAGTAAAAATAAAGAACCTGCCGCCCTCGCCCCACAGGGTTTTTATGGGTTCAGGCCTCCCTCAGGGAGGCGAGGAAAAGGTGTGCAGCCTGTTCTGTGCTCATGGGTCGGTTCCTCCGTGCAGGGTCCTGGGACAGAAGTGAGAGCTCTGTGTCCAAATTCCCTGGCAACGCTATTCGACCTGGGCCGCGACTGGCCTGAGCCCTGCCCTGCATCTGAAAAACAGAGATGATAATGCTATTTTTGCCCCTGATGTGTTATTTCTGAATTCAGCTATGCACCATTTTCCACTGTGGTGCTGCTGCCCCCTCCCTGCTGCCTTTTTTCTCCCGGGCACAGTCTCCGTTTCACCCATTTCCCTGTTGTCTCATTCCCCCCAAAGAATGCCATCTTTACCGGGATTTTTTTCCCCCCGTTCTGTGCTATATCTTCAGATTCTAGGCAGGGCTTGTCAGCAAGTAGTCACTGAATAAATACAAGTGGAATAACTGGGTGGATGAACTGGCCACTGAGCACCATCCATCCGGTGGTGGGTGGTAACAGGGACATAGAAGTGATGGAGACAGCCCGCCCTGCCCTCCCGGGTCTCACAGTCAAGTGGGAGAAACAGATCCAGCCTCAGACGGTGACAGCCCAGAGCGGTCAGGGGCTGGGGTGCAGAAGCTCAGGGACCGTCAGAGCCCAAAAGGGGAACCTGAGCCAACCAGGGGGTGAGGAGGGCTTCCTGGAGTAGGAGGCAGTGCAGGAGCTGATAGGAATGAGCAAGATGAAGAGGAGGGAAAGCTGTGGGAGGGTTGGTGGTGAAAGTGTGGTTTCAGTTCAAGGAACTGAACGATCATTAAAAACGGCCGGGACGTAAAGGTGAGGAGAGTGAGTTATTAGGGGAAGGTCATTCAGGGCTCTGGGGTTCACAGTAAGGAGCTGAGACTTTGTCCTGAGGACACTGGGTGGGGGCGCCGCAGATGGAGGACAAGTCAGACTCAGATGGAGGGGGGATTAGAAGGGTTGAATGAAGGCTGGGAGGTGGCTGGTCCAGGCTAAGATCATGGGAGAGAAAAGGGTGGGACAGACCCTCAGGAGGCCAAGTGGACACATGGAGGGCCCAGGGTGCGGCCCAGGTGGGTCTCCTGAGGGGTCGGGTCGGGCTCTCTGAAGGAGCTGGCACACAGGCCGATACCTGAGGGATAGGTAGGACAGCTGTCTTTGAAATGGGGACTGGAGGGAGGAGTACATTTCGGAGCGATGCTAAGGGGACATAGTGGGTATAAGGGGATTGGGGACACCTTGGGAGAGGTGTCTAGGAGGCC